CGAGGCTGAACAACATCCTTGATCTAATCCTGACCAACACTCCTGAGTGTGTTATTGATGTATCGTGCATATCACCACAATCAATGGACCTCTTCAGCAATCATAATCTTCTGTTCTTTGATTTCAACCTGTTTGCCAAGTTATCTTCCAGTGACAAACGATCTGTCCTAGATTACCACTTAGCAGACTAGCTGGGTTTATACAGAACTCTTTTAACAATAAACCTGTCGCCATCAATAGCCTTAAATCAAATCACAAATAGTAATCCTGATGATATCAACAAGGACTTGGGAATGGTGGTGTGATCGTTTCGTGGTCATATCCCGACATCGTCATATCCCGACTAAAATTATTAAAAAACGAACATCTCCCCCTTGGCTAGACAGTGAAATGCATCACCTATTACACAAAAAGGAAATGGCTAGAAGAAAAGCCAAAAAGAGCTGCTGCAGTAACAATCTCTGGGAAAATTTCAGAAACCTTCGCCGTTCCTGTAAGTCGCTGATATCTTGTAAGCGAAAAGAGTTCTTTCAGTCTTTGTCTGTTCTTATGAAATCAAACACAAAACGATTCTGGTCGTTGTTCAAATTTACATCAAATTCATTTAGTGTAACAAACAAAATGAGTTGGAAGCGTGATGAAGGAAGTGTCATAGCTGAAAATCCTGAAGACGTTGCAAATCTCTTAAACAACTTCTTCTTTTCTATGTTGTGCTCCATACATTTCCTCATCCCTTGCTGATCTCTTCAATAGAAGCTTAACTTCCGGTAGTGTACCAGTGGAATGGAAAGTTTCTAATATAATACCCATTCCTAAAGGTGGTCAAAAGAACGAAATTTCAAATTATCGACCCATATCTTTACTTCCAGTTGTATCAAAGGTGCTCGAGCGTTGCATATACGACCAATTGATCAACCATGTCTCAAGTGAACTGCATAACCTCCAATATGGATTTCGCAGGGGGAAGTCTACAACATCACAATTACTAAAGGTTCTACACGAGTTTGGTGAGTCACTCGACAAGAGAATCCAGACTGATGTCCTTTTATCTCGATTTCGCTAAAGCGTTTGACAGGGTCGATCTCATCAGCTGCTTCTCAAGAAACTTAGTAATTTTGGAGTTTGCGGAAACTTGCTGAGCTGGTTTCATAACTATCTATCAGGTCGCCATCAAAAAGTTACCATTTTAGGAAAAACATCCAGATCAATACCCGTTCTATCAGGTGTTCCTCAGGGTTCAATCCTTGCCCATTTATTGTTTCTTGTATACGTGAATGATCTGCCCAAAAAGTCCACCACATCGTCTGTTGCTCTGTTTGCTGATGATACAAAGTGTTATCATGCCATAAGAACAACAGATGATGTAAAAGCTCTCCAATGTGATCTGGATGGAATCAGCCAATGGTGTCGGACGTGGCGCATGAACCTTAACAAAACTAAGTGTGGAGTTCTTAAGGTAACAAGGAATCTCAAACCCGTGCAGTCATCTTACCATCTCAACAACGATAACTCAGCCAACTCAACGGCCATCTGTAAAAGGCTTGTTCAAAAAGATCTTGGCGTTCTCATCACTGCAGATCTCAAATGGAACCAACAAGTCTCTGCTGTATGTGCGAAAGCAAACAGAATGCTTGGGTTCGTAAAAAGGTCCTCCATTAAGATGCATGATCCTCGTACACGTACTGCACTTTATAAAACGTTAGTGCGAAGTCGTTTTGTGTACAGCTCCCAAGTCTGGTCCCCGCAGTCTGTGTCTTTAATCATCGAAGTCGAGAAGATTCAAAGACGTGCAACGAGATTCATCTTATCGCTGCCGTTTAGATCTGAAACTAGTTACCAGGAGAGACTATTGAAAACTGTCTTCCTCTGTCTTACTGGCACGAGTACCTGGACTTGGTGTATCTCTTTAAGGCAATTACATTGAATGACTCTCAGATTAGTATGGTATCAAACGATCGTATCACCAGGTGCACTACAACTAATAGTGTAACATTAAAACTTTCCAGAGTTAACACTTTCACTTTTCAGAACAGTTTTTATAATAGAGCTCCCAGAATATATAACTCCCTACCACCACATATCGAGAAGCAAGTGTTACTGTCGGCCAATTGAAATCTTACCTGTTAACTTATTATGATGCAATGACTAAAGAAATATATAACATTAATGCTCCACAAACATTTAAAAGTATATGTGTCAAGTGTCACTCGTGTCGTCCGTTGTCCAGTCTTGTGGATAAAATGTGTTGTAAATAATGTAATGTTTTTATTTATTTTTTTTTTTTTATATATACATATTATTATGGACCCTGTAAATGGAGCATTAAGCTCTGTAGGGTTAACCTGTCATTTATGACTAAGTTTGTAAAAAAAAAACTTCGATAAAATTTTTTTTTTGTAAATATGACGTAGAAATATTTTTTTCAAAACAGCAAAAAATGTATTGAAAAGTTTAGCTACCTCTTTCGCATGAAAAGCAAACAACTTTTTGACCATAACCTTCCTCACCTACAGGTTTTCCACATATTAAATCTGGAACATCTGCTACAGCTATGACTTCCACTGACTTCTTTTTCACAAATATGACATAGTGTAGACAAAGGTATTGCCTTAAAATTCAAAAATTTTTGGCATTAAAACTGCATGTTTGAAATTTAAAAATTGATGAACAGATAAGCATATACCAAAAATAATTTTAAAACTCTTACCTGGTTCATGTCAAATCAATGAAATCATTCTTTTTTCCCTTTTTTTACTCCAAAAAAGCAAGACGACATTAAAAGCAAAAAATGTCTCTATGACGTAAAACAAATTATTAAACGCGATAAAAAATCAAAATGTGCCTACTAGCTAAATAAACAATTTACAGTATTCTTTTTCGATAACGATACTCGAACATCGTGTTCGGTTGAATACGTTTTAGCTTTAAGAATTAGAAACATTCTCATGATTCGTATTTAATGTTTTGTAGTAGACTTATATTTTTAAATAAATAAAGAAATGTATGCCGGCACCGCGGTGCTGTTACGCCAACATCCTAGCGATTGTACATTTGTACACCGTTATGCCAAGAGGAGTTGTCTCCACGCCGGAGATCTCCGAACTTTTGTGCACGGAATGCAGCCTGGAGCGCGATCCTTTCCTTCACAAATATATTTGACCTTTCCTTAACTCATTGTCATCCAGTCGAAATGTAGCAATTTTGAGCAGTGTTGTTTTAAATGCAAATATCTATCAAACTATAGATTGTATGGAAACAGAAATTGCATCGTTCAAAAGAGGAGAACTTCCACTTTCCGACATTGCCAGTTTCAATGTCATCACAAGTTCGGTTGACATAATAAGTCTCATAAATTATGATATAAAAAATGTTGCAATTATGTATAAACCATATTTACTGGTTCAAATTTAAAATATGTCAACAATTTAATGAATGTGACAGAAAGAGACGGTTTTTATCTACAAGTACTGGAAGTTTCATGCATGCAGCATAAATAGAAGTATTTTTACTGAATTTTTGAATGAACTATGTAGTACAGTAAAATTTACATGTTGTGCTCACATTTCTGCAGCATATTATCAATATCTTTCACCACATTTGCAATATTTCTTACTATCCAAAATAAGTCTGTGATACCGACAAAAGAACACTAAAATCATTATTTGCAAAATGTCTTGATTTCTACGGTTACTATATATAATCTGTGCACCATTGAATTAGTTATCAGTGGCATAGCCAGGCTAACAATTTGGTCATGCTATGCAAATTTGAAATAATCGCTACTCATTTCTTTAGAAATTGATTGTTTCACAATTTAGAACATGAAAATATTTGCATATAGCATGACCAATTAGTGTTGTTGGGCTGGGGTTGCCACTGGTAATTATAAGAAAGTAATATGTGCCAAAGCAGGACTCATCCACACAAATGGATTATGTGGTGAAAATATTTACTTTTTTGGCACAAAATATATATTGGACCACGAACAACCTAAGATTGTGTAACCAAACTTATATCACATCACCACGTCATACCCAAAATCCATGCTGCAATGAAGCTCTGCACTAATAAATAATAAATCTCAAAGTCGCAAGATAACCATTAGAACTGTCTGTAGCAACCTACAGATTTATCCCCCACTTAGTAGGTTTATCTTTCATGAACTGCCTAAACTCTGGCCTGTTCCTTGATTTGACTGTGCGTTCGTTAGCAGCAATATTCTGCGATGGCTGGTACAGCTAGTTGTTGAAGCAGTTTATTGTTGGGGTCTTCAGTGACAGGGTCTACCACATTCAGAAATGCAATAAGGGCTTTGTACCTAAACATAGAAATTATTTCTCTTGCCCACAGATCATGATATAAGGCTTTTACACTCCAATAATTTTCAATCTCACTTTCAACCTTTACCAAACCTGCATATACTAAAAGGGCAATCAACCTCTCATCAATCTCCTCAAGGTTGGTGGATGTCCAAGACCATTCTTTATTAGTATATGAGGATGATTTTGGGTTATTTCTATGTGGGCATATGTATTGGTATGGGCAACTACCTCCTGAAGTATTTCCTTAGTGAAAAAGAGCTGAAAGAACTCAAGCTCACAGTTCATACTTCTTGTGAAAGCTGGATAAAAATGGACCCCGACATGTCAGTGAGGGGCAAAATCTGGGAGAATATTCCTAGTGTCGGGATCACCAATCTATAGGGCCCAGTGGGGTGCTAGACAGGGAGCTTTCACCATGGGTCCCAGTGGGCTTTCCTCTACCTATCACCTGCCTTCTCTCTGTGTTAGACATTTTCCTAATGGGGAAGTGTGGTTCACATATAAACTGATCAGAACTGCTACTTCCCTGAGGCTCTGAAACAGGATACTAGGGTATGCTAGTTATGCTGCTAAATGCAAATCAGTGGTGGATTTAGAGGAGGGATGCAGGGGGGTGCACCCCCCCCCCACAGGCTCTGGTCAACAGGGGTGCATGGGGGGGGGGGGCAAAAATGAC